AGGTGGCAGCCTGAATCCTTCAAAATCCAACAATTTGCAGGCAACCCCATACAATTATCTTTGCACTTCATCAAAATGAGTACGGCAAGCCTGGAACCAAGTTGGTACATCAAGCCCTATTTTACCCCAACCCTCCTCAATCCTTCAAAACCTAGGTGGCAGCCTGCTAGGTGGAAGCCTGAATCCTTCCAAATCCAACAATTTGCAGGCAACCCCATACAAAAATCTTTGCACTTCATCTAAATGAGTACGCCAAGCCTGGAACCAAATTGGTACATCAAGCCCTAATTAACCCCAATACTCAAATATCAACCATGCGCTTTTGTAGGATATTGGTGGATTGAGGCTCTATGCTTGTTTACTGCTGGGTTGGTTTTTTTTGGATGATGCATTGTGTCGAGGTCTTAAGCTGTATCTTGCGTTGTTTATGCTTAGCCGTGCATACATTTAGGCGTACATTGTGCTGGATATAATTGGCACTGCTGCTGGATATCATCGGAAATGCCGCATTATTACAGCAGTGATTGTTGGAGGATTTTGAAGGGGCAAAGGCAGTGGTCACCCCTCCACCGAACAAATTGAAGAAATAAGGGATGGTTTGGAGGATTGAGACTGAATCCAATGTTTACATGGAGGTAGCTGGAGAATTTTGAAAGAAAAAAGGCTTAGGATTAGGACCGAAGTAACAGTGGCTGGGCTATACATCAAATGCATTGCTCAGCTGATGCTCACACTAAGACAGTACAGGATTGTGAACGTTCAGGAAAAAAAAATGTGCATACTTTGTGCCATACCCGAGCTAACCAAAACGCTCATGTCTCCCTCCCACTGAGATCTTAGGAATGGTCAAGAAGCTGAGTCAGTTGGTGCAGCTGGGGTAAGGGAAGAATGCAAGATTAAACAAGTGGTAATGCGAGATACAACCCCGAGGTACCCTGTAAAACCTCGAGGTAAACCTGGAGTTACCGCGTGTTTAATTTCGCATTCTGTCCTTAATCCTAACCCTCTAGGGTATGTTTGCTAGAACCCTGCCAAACGTAGCGACATGCAAGACTAAGTGACATGCCTGCCAAATGTAGCGAGATCCATCCGGGGAAAAAGTCTCAAGGCCACACTGCCTCCGAGTCCGTGGTCACTGCACGCAGCAGGATACAACTGTGGCATTGTTCAATGGGACTAGCTCTCATTGTCTCAGAAGCAACCGTTTATGCACTGGTGTTGGTAGCTGAATGCATCAAAGTGCACCGGTTCTTTCCCACCTGATGCGTGCTATGTTGCGTCAGGCAGGGTTAGGGTTAACATACACAGTAATGAAGCAAATTCCGTTCTGCTTCCCACAGGCTCCAGACTGGAATGAGGGGAGCCTTTGGCAAGCCTCAGGGCACCGTGGCCCGCGTCCGCATCGGCCAGACCATCCTGTCCATCCGCACCAAGGACAGCAACAAGGCCTCTGCCATTGAGGCCTTCCGCCGAGCCAAGTTCAAGTTCCCAGGTAGACAGAAGGTAAGATTCCAGAGTATGTTGCAAAGAGCAAACAAGGATTTCCCCCTGATTTCAAAGGTAAACAAAGGCAAGAGGTACATGCAATACTTCAGTTTCGAGTATTAGTGACAAATAGTTCAGTTCGTGTTTCTGTTGGATGCAGCATGCCCAGTTAAAAATTTTGACATATGGTTTGTACCTGAAGACACAGTAAATGGCTTGTATTTGATGTTCTGAAATAAATATTAAAAACCTGTTTATAACCTATTTTTAAAAAGTTCCACCTATCTCTTGCCTTGGTTCTGGTCGTATCTAAATTATGGGGATTTCCTTTACCCCAAAAAACTGAAAGTACATGAAATATCAGTTGGAGAACATTTACTAATAAGGACAATTTCCCCGGTTTTCCAAAGAATTTTGTTACTATAAATTATGTGCGTGCAGAGCATGTGACGGCTTAAATTGAATTATAATAGGTTTTTTTTGTCCAAGTAAATGTCGCCCACTCTCAACCATCCAAAATGCTCAATACACAATAAGGTGACGGACTATTCTCTTCAACAGATCTTCATCTCTGAGAAATGGGGTTTCACCAAGTACACCCGGGAAAAGTTCGAGGAGCTGCGCAGCGAAGGTCGCTTCATCCCAGACGGCGTCGGCGTGCAGTACCTGCCCAACTACGGTCCTCTCGCACGCTGGAAGCAGTACCAGTCATAAAAACACAGAGTTGCCAGGCACTAAAGAGGGTGCGGCGACGCCCACAATTTCCGGAACCCGGCTTTAGCACCTTCCTTCAAAAACATCCATTTTGGTGGACTTGGTCAAAGAATTGATGTGCCAGACTTGTCTGGTGGGAGTCGACCATTTTTCCGGTTGTCACACACTTATTCGACTAAATTTGTTTTGGTTGGACGTCTCATTTCCAGAATAATGAAGGTTGTATAGAAATGCATCAGAAAAACAAATCATTATGTTTGAGAACAGAATAAAGACCTAAGTGGAACTCAAGCTTAAACTTGCCTTGCAGTGGTTTATTTATGTGTGAATGTAGCCCATTAAGTGAGTCACAGCCAATGTCCTAAGTTTGATGACAGGCATGCAACTGGGAATTAAGGGGGGAAAGAAAGAGGAAATATTACAAACCACACAAGACTTTTCACAGCATTTTTCAATTTGTAATGGCATTCATGAGAATTTTAAAAACGAAGAAATCAGGAGATCCGAGGAAAAGTTGCATGCCTGTGACGAGTTAACTTGAAAGCAAACTTGGTGGAGAAAAATGGAGAAATTTGCCTGAAAACTTGAAACATAGCTGCCGTTAGTAACAATTGTCTTGTGTCCGTACTCGTGCACTCTGTTGTACTTCCTGTAAAAGTGATTGCAAATAACGCAGCAATTTGCACAAAATCTCTTGAAAATCATAATACAGAAAGAATCACCAAACGATAAATGTAGTTTGTTGGCATTTTAATTCCTCTGAAGCAAACTTGGAGATGATTTTAGCAGAATTATGAAAACGGTGGAATTAAGCAGAAAATTAAAAAATACACAAGCTGTTGAATACATGTACATTCTTTTTCACCATTCTAAGCATGTTGCTTCTAAAAAATGATTTTCACTGTTATGCGACTGACAATTTAAATTGCATATGTAAACTGCATATTTTGGGGCGATTCCCTCGGCAATTGGACTACATGTACTTGAAGCAAAAGGCCGCTTAGTTTAAAATCCTAAAAATCTGGCGAGTTTGAGCGAAAAATCTAAATACAATGCACGTGTACATTTTGCGTTTACAAAGACAATTTGGAAAAAAGACATTATTGGCAAACCAGTGTGGCAGGAAAAATATCACAATACATCGCAAAATGATATATTGCCCAATATAGCACCATCATTTCAGTATGCATGTAGGTGTAGTACTGGTCAGTAAAAGTCACTCAAACATTTTAGTATTAAGCCTTTTTCTTGTTAAAAATTACTCCATCAAAATCAGTAACTCGCACTATTGCAAGCTTCTTTAAGATAATTGATTGCACCATTAAAGTAACTGCACTTTCCCAAATTTCTGAGGGAAAACAATCAGAATACATATACATGAATACTATAAGAACATCTAAAGATGCATACAAATGTATATAATTGAAGCAAAGGCAACATGTCTTGCAGATGATAAATTGATGCAGATCTTACAGCGAGACTTTCTTCCCAGCAACGAAATAGCATCGTAAATGGCAAAACTAGCATGAGCATGTGTTTACATAAAATTCTGAGCGGATCCGGATATTTAGTGGGAAGAAAAACGATCAAAAACAAAATCCAAAACATACGACTAGATATTTCGGAGAAGAATACAATTGTACTCTATTGTTTGAACATTCTAAATACATGCAGTTTTAAAGGGAATATACATCATTTGGTTTTGCTGTAATTGTCAGAAATGGATGGAATTGGGGGGTTGGAAATATATAGCAAATATAGTTACACTGACTTTTTGAGGTTTTGGGTTCGAAAATGCTATAAAAACCAAGAAAAACAATTATTTTCATGTAGTCTGGTTCCCTGACTCCATTTAAGAAGAAACAGAGCAGTTTACATATATTGGGGAATTGTAAAGTCAGGGAACCAGTCTAGCTGGCTTGTACCCGTTCATAGGTGTGTAATCGATTGCAAACAAGTGCGATGGTCAACTGGGGCCAGTATTTGAAAAAAAAGCCAGTTTTTTTCCAACGCTGATCGGCCGATCAGCGTTGGAAATTGATACAAAAATACCACTTTTCTTGAAAATGACAGTATATCAGGTGCCATGATTCTACAGGATGCTTTACACTGTCATTCACTAACAGTCCAGCAAGGTATTTCAAAATGATTTGATAGTTTTATTTTTTTATGTTTGCAAATGTTGTATTTCCCTTTAACAACATGAAGGAATTGAACATTCTACACTCACCACCAGAGGTTACTCTAACATTTCAAGAACATGGATTGCAAATATTAAAGGGAAAATACAACATTTGCAAACATCAAAAAATAAAACTACCAAATCATTTTGAAATACCTTGCTGGACTGTTAGTGAATGACAGTGTAAAGCATCCTGTAAAATCATGGCACCTGGTATACTGTCATTTTCAAGAAAAGTGGTATTTAGTATCAATTTCCAACGCTGATCGGCCGATCAGCGTTGGAAAAAACTGGCTTTTTTTTTCAAATACTGGCCCCAGTTGACCATCGCACTTGTTTGCAATCGATTACACACCTATGAACGGGTACAAGCCAGCTAGACCGGTTCCCTGACCTTACAATTCCACAATATATGTAAACTGCTCTGTTTCTTCTTAAATGGAGTCAGGGAACCAGACTACAGGAAAAAATTGTTTTTCTTGGTTTTTATAGCATTTTCGAACCCAAAACCTCAAAAAAGTCAGTGTAACTACATTTGCTATATATTTCCAACCCCCAATTCCATCCATTTCTGAAAATTACAGCAAAAGCAAATGATGTATATTCCCTTTAATATTCAAATTCTATGGCAGCCAAAAAATTTGGAGCTTTTGCTCCTAGAGTAGGTTTCCCTTAAGCCTTTTATAAATGATAATAGTAAATCATGTGAAATTGTGCAAGTGGTTAACTTTGGTATATTACATAATCCTTTTGATTCAAGTAACCAAAGTCATTCTTTGGTTATTTGGTCCATTGATTTTACGATTTGTACTCTGTCTTGCTGTTGTCAACATCTTCAGGAGCATCTGATGCAAATTTCTCATTGCTGACTGGCTTGCCCCTCTGTTGGCTTCCCCTCTCCATCTTCAACTTTGACTGAGACGTCTTCCTCAGTAAGGACAGTCTTCTCTGATGTGCCCACAGGAACTTCCGTAGACCCTTCCTCTGGCTTCTCCGTAGGCGTGTCAGCATCGGGCATCCCAGATGAATCTTCTGCTGCTGCAGTATCTTCGGTAGGTTTCTCCTCTACTTGACCATCTGATAAATCTTCCCCATCTGTGGATGTTTCAGGAGCCAACTGTGGCTTTTCTTTGGTTGCCAACTGTGACGCATCCTCTTTGAACTCCAGCACCTCATCTGCTGTATCCTCATTCTTTGCTTTTGGTTCAGATGTCTCGTCAATTTCAGGGGTTGCCTCAGCAAACGGTTCCCCCTTGGGTTGGTCTTCCATCTGCTTATTTTCTGAGGATACTGAACAGGCTGTAGAGGCATCATCCTTCACATCCCTTTCTTCTGATTCCTGACCTCTGGGCTTCTTTATAGCTGTCCCGAGACTTTCAGTTGGCTCTAGGTCCTCGGATGTCTGGTCAATTTCAGAACCTGCCCGTGCTGAAGCTTCCTTGTCAGGTTGCTCTTCCACCTGCTTATCTGAAGATGCCGCAACAGCTGTAGCCTCATTTGCTGCCGCATCTGTCACGCCCCTTTCTTCTGATTTCCGACCACTGGGTCCTCTTGATGTTTGGAGACTTTCAGCAGGTACCTCCGCAGCTGCCTTTAGGTCCTCAGATGTCTGGTCAATTTCAGAACCTGCCCTTGCTGAAGCTTCCTCGTCAGGTTGCTCTTCCACCTGCTCAGTTAAAGATGCCGCAACAGCTGTTTCCTCATTTGCTGCATCATCTGTCACACCCCTTTCTTCTGATTTTCGACCACTAGGTTCTTGTGATGTTTGGAGACTTTCAGCAGGTACCTTCGCATCTGCCTTTAGGTCCTCAGATGTCTGGTCAATTTCAAAACCTGCCCTTGCTGAAGCTTCCTCGTCAGGTTGCTCTTCCACCTGCTTACTATCCGAAGATGCTGCAACAGCTGTTTCCTCATTTGCTGCATCATCTGTCACGCCCCTTTCTTCTGATTTCTGACCACTTGGTTCTCTTGATGTCTGGAGACCTTCTGTAGGTACCTCCGCATCTGCCTTTGGTGATTCAGCTGTCTGTTCGATTTCAGGAGCTGCCTCTGCTGAAGCTTCCTCGTCAGGTTGCTCTTCCACCTGCTCAGTTAAAGATGCCGCAACAGCTGTTTCCTCATTTGCTGCATCATCTGTCACACCCCTTTCTTCTGATTTTCGACCACTAGGTTCTTTTGATGTTTGGAGACTTTCAGCAGGTACCTCCGCATCTGCCTTTAGGTCCTCAGATGTCTGGTCAATTTCAGAACCTGCCCTTGCTGAAGCTTCCTCGTCAGGTTGCTCTTCCACCTGCTTACTATCCGAAGATGCTGCAACAGCTGTTTCCTCATTTGCTGCATCATCTGTCACGCCCCTTTCTTCTGATTTCTGACCACTTGGTTCTCTTGATGTCTGGAGACCTTCTGTAGGTACCTCCGCATCTGCCTTTGGTGATTCAGCTGTCTGTTCGATTTCAGGAGCTGCCTCTGCTGAAGCTTCCTCGTCAGGTTGCTCTTCCACCTTCTCCGTTAAAGATGCTGCAACAGCTGTTTCCTCATTTGCTGCATCATCTGTCACACCCCTTTCTTCTGATTTTCGACCACTAGGTTCTTTTGATGTTTGGAGACTTTCAGCAGGTACCTCCGCATCTGCCTTTAGGTCCTCAGATGTCTGGTCAATTTCAGAACCTGCCCTTGCTGAAGCTTCCTCGTCAGGTTGCTCTTCCACCTGCTTACTATCCGAAGATGCTGCAACAGCTGTTTCCTCATTTGCTGCATCATCTGTCACGCCCCTTTCTTCTGATTTCTGACCACTTGGTTCTCTTGATGTCTGGAGACCTTCAGTAGGTACCTCCGCATCTGCCTTTGGTGATTCAGCTGTCTGTTCGATTTCAGGAGCTGCCTCTGCTGAAGGTTCCCTCTCGGGTTGCCCTTCCATCTGCTTAATTTCTGCGGATGCTGCACCAGCTGTTCCCTCTTTAGAAGCATCGTCTATCTCCTTTGCTTGTGGTTCTTTTGATGTTTTTAAACTTTCACTAGGTACCTCTGCATCTGCCTTTGGATCTTCAGATGTCTGGCCAGTTTCAGGTGTCCCAGCAGAAGACTCTTTGGATGGTTCTTCCTCAATTTGCTCAGGTGGACTGTCCTTTAACATACTTTCTTCTGATTCCTGCCTGCTTGTTTCTTCTGTCTTTACTTCTTTGGTGGGTACTTCTGCAAATGATGATTCTTTCTCTGGGTGCTCTTCTATCTGCTTCTTGTCGTAGGATGTCTCGCATTCCTTTTCGTCATCTCTGGGTGCAACTTCAGGCATCTTTTCTTCTGCACTGGCTGCACTTGAATCTTGTGGTGCCTTCGGCTTCTCAGAGGCCTCTTCTGCAGCTCCAGGGGAAGACTCTATCTCTGGTTGCTCCTCATCCTGCTTTCTCTCTAAAGATGCCTTTCCTGCTTTGGATTGGTCTCCCATCTGTTTGTCATCTGATCTCCCGTCTCTCTTCCCTGGATCATCTACAATCTTCTCTTCGACTGTCCTTGTGTCCTTGGGAATGATCAGCAGATCTGTCCTTGCTGATGGGAAGGCTTCTTTGAGCACATCATCAGAGATGAACTGATTGAGACATCCAAGACTGTAACTCCAAAGGTCCTCCTGTTTTTTGCCATCCCTAAAGAAGAAAATTAAACCCAAGGACCCTTGAGTCTGAAATCAAAGGACCCTTATTAAAATATGATTCATTAGCTGGAAATCAAAGGTCTCTTCAGTAAAAGTCAAAACCTCATCATAGGACCCGGTCAGAGGGCTGGCCCTTCAGAAATTCAAAGATCATTGAATCAATGGACATAATAAAAATAAAGTTCGATCAAAAAAAAAATAAAGGGAGCCTCGAATCAGAATCATCACAGGACCCCAGCGTCCAAATTCACATGCAGCAAATTTAGGACTTCTTAAGAATCGAACTTGATGTTTTCACATTTCCTCTGAAATTTCTTGCCTGGAACTTTTTTTTCTTCTAAAAAACATCTAAAAGTTTTTCCAATTTTCTATATGTGTGTGATCAGTTAAATGTGCATTTTCTCAAAGCCTTACCAACAGAAGCTTGCAGGGTTAGCAGGTCGACAATTCTTCAGGTACACTGCAGTTTTCCCACGAAGGCTTGGATCGACACAGGCCACGACACTTGTAGCAGCCCCCTGTTTCGGAGTACGTATCATACCTTTGGAAAAACACAAAGCATTCAATCATTTCAATTTTCATTAAGTCTGAAATGCAACTTACAAAGTTAAATTTTAGTCTTTGCACCCTTGTTATAATTATGAAAGTCTCTACTAATTGGACCTGAAATTGAAACAGTACAGTATGAAGATCAGTGGATGATTGCCAAATGCATGTCAAATGACCAAAAAAGTTTATGCACTTCACTGGTTAACACATTCGCTCTTTTCACACTTCCACCATGGGCATGCAGAGCCTCGATCTGGCAACTTTACACAATGACTATAGCCGGTTCAGTGATTCCCGTGTCGGGGTTCAGATCACTGAACCGGCTATTTTTATTGTGTAAAGTTGCCAGATCGAGGCTGTGCATGCCCAATGGCGGAGCTTGAAAAGAGCGAATTGGCCAGGCAATGATAATATTAAATTTTCAAATGCACCAAGAAGTGTACTCACCAAATTTTTTATAAGCTCCAACGTAAAAGCTCATCAGTTTCCAATCACTGAAGTTATTCATAATATTCGTGTCCACAAATCCAGGATCAGTAGAGAAAGTGCTCACTCCAGTCCCTTCCAGTCTCCGAGCGAGAAAGTGTGCTGCCATGACCTTTTCAGGATATAACAAATCCAGAAATAAAATTCTCTTCCGACTTTGGATGAGGAACGAGCAGCTCAATACAGACTCAATGCATGATCATGAGATTACATTTTGTGAAAACTTTTTCTGAGCCCCGTGGGACACACTGAATGTGTGTACTGCATCACGCGTATAAAACTGCCAAATATCCATTGTCTCCCTCATACTCTCTCTCATCAGCGATACTTGTCGAGGACGCTTGCCTGCAACCTGGCTGAAAAAATTATAAATAGCATTAATTATCTGAACCAACAAGTATCTTGAGTTAATCACTGACGACTTATACATTGTACACGCTCAGACTCTTACTAGGGGTAGACCGAAGGTGGCACTGAAGGGGGATGAACAGTGTTATACATGTATTTGCCAGACAGTGTCCTTTCCATCTGCTTTGAATAGCGCCCCCTGTGGTAAGATGGTAAATAGCTTCCCCCTCCCCCTCTCTCCCATTGCTTTTTAGAGTATAGGTGGCAGCGGGTGACTATCCGGCTACCTTCCATCACGATAGTCGGTCGGCAATTTCGTTGTCACATCCCCCATTTCAATATGGTCTGGCGACGTCATGTGTTTACTGGACTAGATCACCGACTTCATTCAATTCCTGAATTAAAAGAATCTCACCATGTAAGCCTTGGATGAGGCGTAGGCTGTATACCGACTGAAGGATTTTCGGCCCTGCATGTTGTCCAGGTCTAGTTTCCCACTACTATGCCCCTCTGATGACAGGAGAACAATGCGGGAGTCGGGGGAACCAGCCTGCAGCAGCGGCATGAGATGCAGCACAATGAGGAGATGTGACAGGTAGTTGACTTGGAATTGCGACTCGTATTTATCCTCTGTGTATTCTATGAAAGAAATCCAACGAAAGAACCTTTTTGAACACGACAACTAGTGGAGCAAATTGAGACTTTCGATAGCAGTCCTTTCAAGCGCCATGTATAGGTCATGATGCCGGAGTCCTTACCTTGTTTGGCAAAGGCAATGCCAGCATTGCAGACCAAGATATTAAGGTACTGCATCCTCTCCTTGGTCTCCTGAATGAAGTCCATGGTGGATTGCAACGAGGCGAGATCCACTTTGATGTACTCCACATTCAGTGGCTTGATCTCAACTTCTTCACTGGTGGATGGAGATGACGCCTGGCCAGTGGCATTCATGGACAATTGTAATAAGAAAGACATTTGATTTAGGAAAATCAAAAAGGTTTAATCAGTCACAAATATTTGCAGGCCTACTGGCCCTTCCAAACTTTCCAACATCAATTAACAGGTCATCAGAAACTATAACTTCCGCTTACACAAAAAAAGTCAGTAACAAGTGAAGTCTGTCTTGTGTTAATTAACATATGGCTCCTTTGGCCCATTTTTTTGTCTCTGGTTTTCTGGTATGAAAAGATTGATAGAAAAAAAAATTCATTCTGCAACATATGAAAAATCAGAAACAACTTAATAGTCCAGATAAGCAGCAAGATTCTTCACAGCCTATAGAAAAAGGCAGGTCTCATGGACATTAAATCGAGGCTCGGATGATCTTCCATTAGGAAGTGACTGACAGCACACTAGCCTCATCACATACTCAAGGATTATTCAGCCATCAACAAGGATGACCACTACAAACCCAAACTACCTCGACTAGAGCTCCCTGGGTCACAACAGACAACAGTCCTTCTAACCCTGAAGCAACTCACGTGAGGAATACATTATCCCACTCGATCATTTTTGCAATATCTACATGCAGTTTCCTCTCCATGAACGGTCAGATAAACCCCTTGATGCTAAACATACCACCCCTTAACAAGCCTACTTCAACAAGGAAGTTTGTTGAGAGGTTTACAGAGCGCTTCAACTAGGCCAAGCTTCCCTACTGAGAGGCACCCCATGTCGTGACAAAAACACTTGAAAAAGCCCCACTAAGACTTTTACTTCATATCAGGTAAAACCATTTTGGCCATATCGGACAAATTGTCACCATTCAAAAAAGGTTTAGTTTACCTGCCCATGACTTCTCTGCTGCATTTCAGCTCGATGTTCTGTCTGCATTCGCTCGATTGCCTAAATGACCAAAAACCTGAGTCATTAATGCGTCAAAGAAAATCACTTAGAATATACATTGTATACCTAAATGCGGCGTGATCTTCGAGCTCCTAAAAATAATGTGTAACATTTTTTTAATTGTTTGTGACATAATCTCAGCTGTTTTTCGCTAAGTAATTTATCTTTTAATTACTGTGCTAAGGGGGATTTATGTCGGGGCTTATTCCACGGAGCTGTAAGCTTGGTAAAGTTGAGGGATTAACCACAGCTCTGAAAAAAATGTGGCCAAAATATTACTAAATATCTACCACCTTACCCAAGGCCGCGTGAATCCTGGCAGGGGATGGGAAGATATCCCCCTTTTTGACTAGGGGGGGGGGGATGGGTCACTGGATCTCCCCCCCCCCCCCCCTCCCCGCCCCAATTTTTGTGGTGAGAACTTGAAAAGCAATGCCGATTTTAATGTCATCTCGTAACTTTCAGATAGTCAAAATGTATTACATCAAGTTCAGAAAATCGGAGAACAAACAGTACAAAAGTTAGGGAATGGAAGATTTTGCGGTGAGGTTAAGGGACGTACGTAAGCTAGCGCACAAGTTTGCATAAGATGTACATTTGTGTAATGAACAGCTCCCCCCCCCCCCCGCCCCCAACCCACTTTTTGAATTTCCCAGCTGGACATTTTAGGACCCATCCAATCCACTCGTCGAAAAGGATTTACTTCACTGACCTTATACCACGAGGATTCTAGTATGCCCTATACAGCGTGCCTATACTTGAAAACAGCTATACAAGAATAGTTTCGTGTTGAAGTGGACCACACAGTTTACTGATTTACTCCCCGAAACCACACTCACAGCTTTAGCTTTGTCCTCTGAGCGACTTGTAATGCACACTCTTGCTCCCATCTTCGCAATGGACTTTGCCGTTTCATATCCAATCCCTGCATCAAAGGAATTAATAACTGAGGTATTAAAGAGAAAAGGATAGTCCAAGGACGAACAATATGAAGAAAACATAGTTATATATTACGGTACTCTGAAGGAAGAAACTTATGAAACCAATCCAAAGACTTGAACTCGAGTAAGAAAACAAGATCTTGTATAACATGAATAAGTATCAAAATTTAAGATGACATTTGAGATGAATTATTGAATTAAATAATGATTTGTCATGATTAGTCTCCGAGTAGACCTTTAAAACCCACCATGAAGTTTTGGAGGCCTGCTGTATTTTGAATTAAGTCTTTCTCAACTTGAACCATTTTCACGGAGCGTGAGGAATTAAAATTATGTAGGATCCTGGTGGATCATATTGTGTAAGATTCATTTGGTTCGTGCAGGAATTCTGAAGTTCAGTCGGATTCTGGAAGATATAACCCCTCAAAAAAGTTAAACTTTTGCAAGAATGCTAAAACAGTTTTTTTTACCAGTGTTTCCACCTGTGACCATCACCAGCTTCTCCGGGGGAAGCTCCACCGACGGATGTTCTAATTTGTTCCCCATTTTCAACCTTTCAGTCGAACCTAAACCTGTCAGGCCAAAAAGAATGCAAACAATATAATCTGTTCTCGATCGAAAAGTATGTACTGAACTTGGTATTACCAGCTACAGCATGCTTATATTTCAACTTGACTTGTATATATTGCCTGGGGGACGGGAGTGTCTCCTCTGCGTCCTTGGATCGCCCAAGCGTATGCTCCTAATTTGTAACGTCCCTTTTCTCATCAAGATTGATAATGCTAGTAATAAGCTTTAAAAAAATAAGCATTAAGTTTTATGAAGATACGTTAACATAATTATTATCTGTAGGCCTATGGTAGAATATTATGTCAGTCGCATCACCAAGTCCAGCAGAATGTTGTGGACAGTTGCGACACCACGGAGTTGTTTGCACCAAGTCACAGACGATATCTGACGCGTGGCAAAACTATACTTCATGGTGCACCCAACTAATAAATTGGGCACAGGCAATTTATCCCACACAAATTCCAGTGGTGTAATGCTATAGAATATGGCGGAAAGGGGCCTCCGCCCCCACCCCGAACTTTGCAAAAAGGCGCAAAATATTGTTTTGTATTGTGACAAAGTGCCTCGACCCCCTGCACTACATGTACAAATCCCCAAACAATGTCAATTTTCAACACAATATACACATTGCAAAGACATACCTGGACATTAACTGTGCACAAACCCTATATGAGGCTGGTCTGAAAATGTCTAAGTGTTTTTTTCAGTAAATGCTTCAACATTTTCCCTGGATGCATACATGTATTATCACTTTCTGATGGCTGATAGGTCACTGCGGGGAAAATTTAGTGATGGCCATGCAGGAATGGAAATCTATCCTACACATTTCTAATGTAAAAAATCCAGTTAGAAGTTCAAGCGCGCAATCAAACTTTAAGCATATGGCAACCCACATGGAAGCAGTATCCAATTATTGCCCTACCCCTGTCTCGACGACTAATTATTCCTGTCCAATTTAAGGCATGACAATAAACTCACACTCACCATGAACTTCTCAATCCAGATGGGCGTGGTTGAGGCTGGGAATTATTTCTGGCCGGGCTCAGTTGGCCATGTATAATAGTCAATGAATGATAGACGTAGGCCTACGTGTACTAAACTGTCTACACCCACTGCAATCAGTGTACCATCAGTATCTGGCAATGATGATTTATATTGCGATGTCGACTGATCAAAGTTCACTTGAAGTGTTGCCAAAAATGTTGCCTTGTGTTTTATAGCTCCATGCCAGAACGAACTATGTTCATCAACAGTAGATATGGAGCTTCGCGCGCGGGTGCAGGGGAGATCTCTAGATCTAGAGAGAGACACATAGCGTGCGGAGTCCATGCAAAGAGAGGAGCCAACATCAAGAACCAAATTTTCGGGTGGGGGAATAAGCGTACTTGTAAAAAAATAATGTAGAATTACATTGAGATTTTAACTACATCGTATTCCTGATTTCAAGTGGCAACATCCACCTACAATAAGACTCGCATGAACTGCAATATATACGTAGTGTGCAAGTTATAACCACTTGTCTAAAGCCAGCACTTGAACGTCTGGAAGACTGTCCAAGAGTAAGACAAAGATTGTCTGGCAGAACCACTCTCTCCACCTCTCTGTAAAGATCGGCGGGGCGGGTCTAAGCTCACGTACGTCCCCAGGCTGCTTAAATAGAAAAATCATGCTGAAAAAAGTAGCACATGCATACTTCCCACCATCACTGGTGGGCGACCTCTCAAAGTGCCGGCTCCGAGGCTTCGCACGCGCCATGTCAAGAGTTGGTTTTAGACCATGCCGCCGCTACAAAAAGTTCGTTTATTTTGAAATTGTATTTTTGAAATGTTGCGTTTTTAAACCAGCCGCTGAAAACTTTTAATGTTATGTTGCATTTTCACCTTTTAAAAAAAAATTAACATCGGCAGATTTTGCATGTCATGTGGAATAAACTAGCTTTTGCCTTGCTACGAATGAACAATTTGGTCCATTTTTAAAAAATAATATGCAACACCTGAAAAATGCGACATACCTAGGATATATAGGATGGATACGTCTGTTCCGTGTTCTTTTTATGGCGTAACTGCATCTTAGGAATACTGAAAAGATGAAATAATTTTCATCAAATGCAATGCTTTAGAAAATTCCAACCCAACAAAGTCAATTACAAAAGAAACAATAATTACCAAAGAATTTTAAGCAACTTAATCTAGATATGAGTACATGTAGTTTGTAATTGTTTACAATTTCATATATTTACTTACTTATAGTGTCCTTATAGTGAGCTGTCCAACTATATGTACATGTAATTGCCTTTTTAAGGATAACGTATTTCGAATTGAATTGAATGAAATTGAACTGAACTAATATAGGAATACATGTATCCAACATGCCCCAAACCCAAATACCAAAATATACTTTTCGAGTTGATTAAATGGTCAATATGAAATTACAAGGCATGTATGAAAACCATCATCAACGAATCAACTACTTTACAATAATTAGATTAAGTAAACAACACTCAAATTTCATCAAAATCTTACAAAAGAAACCAGTAAGGCAAGGTTAATTAATAAGTAAGGGACTTTAAGAAAATATCAATGATTCCAGTCGTCCGAAGTAAATACAATGTATCTTGAGAATTGTAAACTAACAAGTATGGGCGTCTCCAGGATTTTTTTCTAGAGACATCATCTCCAGATATCATCAAGTAGTCTTGCCAAACCTCAACACCGATGAGCTTCAAATTCACCAAGTTGCTTACTGGCACAGTTCCCCTACTAAAACTTTATTGAAAATCATGTGAACAATGATAACATTGTGATATTTAGCCCAGCAAACAAAAAACAGGGAAAACAAGGTGTCCGTAAACTCGGGGCTGAAAAGAAGGTGATGGGATGCCTAACGGTGGGACTTGAACAAGTTCAAGGAAATTCCCAAAATTATTGGTAAAAAAACATTCTGACATTGACACAATTATTGTACGCAACACTAATCTTTTTTTGTTGTGAATTTTGTGTTATTGAAGTAAGGATGTGTAAGTACAATCACTAAAATAAACTTTAAAAAAAATATATATATATACCCAAATATGGGATGAAATATATTACCGGAGAGGTATTAACGATTTATGCAAATTAGGCATATTTCCACCACTTGGATTTTTAAGACTGTTACTACACCATTCTAGGGACCTTACATAAGTGCAATGTGATGAACAAAAAAATCTGTTGCAATTTGTGTGAGGTTCACTTCAAAAATAAAGTATTTTGCCTGGACTATCTACAAGTCTGGATCTCATCACGTACTATGACCAAATAGTTTCTCTGGCAGTTTCTGCCAAGGTTTAATCTTTCTTCGATACCTTGTGGTCTTTAATATACACCTAAACCTTGTGAATTTGAATATTATTTAGATTTCACCAAATTTTCAGTTCATCACAAATCTCTTTAATGGAGTCCACTTTGATAATTTTTGGCCAAGTTTGGTCGGTACACCTTCTTGAACTTCTGCACCTCATCTCCTGCAGATTTCCCCATTATCTGCCTTCGGTTCTCCTGATGTCTGGTCAATTACAGAAGCTGGCTGAGCTGAAGGTTCCCTCTCTGGTTGTTCTACACCTGCTTATTATCTGAAGATGCTGCAGTTCTCAGCTGCTAATTACTTATTTTCTGCATTATCTGTCACGCCCCTTTCCTCTGAAACCTGCCCACTGGGTTTTTCCTCTGCCTTAACCCTTTCAGTGGGTAATTCTGCAGCTGCAGATGGTAATTCTCTTTTCGGCTGCTCTTCTGTCTGCTCCTGTTTGGAGGATGCCTTGGGTTCGTTGTCTTCATCTTTGAGTGTGTCTTCAGGTATCTTTTCTTCTAAATTAGCCCCATATGGTTCCTGCGATGCCTTGACTTTTTCAGAGGGTACCTCTGTAGCTCCAGATGAAGACTCTATCTCTGGTTGCTCCTCATCCTGCTTCCTCTCCAAAGATGCCTCTCCTCCTTTGGATTTGTTTCCCATCTCTTTGTCATCTGAACTCCCTTCTTTCTTCCCTGAATCATCAGCAATCTTCTCTTCGACTGTCCTTGTGTCCTTGGGAATGGTCAGCAGATCTGGCCTCGCTGATGGGAAGGCTTCTTTGAGCACACCATCAGAGATGAACTGGTTGAGACATCCAAGACTGTAACCCCAAAGGTCCTCCTGTTTTTTGCCATCCCTAAAGTAGAAAATTAAACCCAAGGACCCTTGAGTCTAAAATCAAAGGACCCTTATTAAAATATGATTCATTAGCTGGAAATCAAAGGTCTCTTCAGTAAAAGTCAAAACCTCACCATAGGACCCGGTCAGAGGGCTGGCCCTTCAGAAATTAAAAGATCATTGAATCAATGGACATAATAAAAATCAAGTTCGATAAAAAACAAATAAAGGGAGCCTCGAGTCAGAATCATCACAGGACCCCAGCGTCCAAATTCACATGCAGCAAATTTAGAACTACTTAAGAATCGAACTTGATATTTTCACATTTCTTCTGAAATTTTTTTCTAAAAAACATCTAAGTTTTTCCAATTTTCTAAATGTGTGTGATCAGTTAAGTGTGCATTTTCTCAAAGCCTTACCAACAGAAGGTTGCAGGGTTAGCAGGTCGACAATTCTTCATGAACACTGCAGTTTTCCCACGAAGGCTTGGATCAACACAGGCCACGACACTTGTAGCAGCCCCCTGTTTCGGAGTACGCATCATACCTTTGGGCAAACACAAAGCATTCAATCACTTCAATCTTCAGAAAGTTTGAAATGCAACTTACAAAGTTAAATTTTAGTCTTTGCACCCTTGTTATAATTATGAAAGTCTCTACTAATTGGACCTGAAATTGAAACAGTACAGTATGAAGATCAGTGGATGATTGCCAAATACATGTCAAATGACCTACAAAAAGTTTATGCACGGCCAGGCAATGATAATATTAAATGTTCAAATGCACCAAGAAGTGTACTCACCAAATTTTTTATAAGCTCCAACGAAAAAGCTCATCAGTTTCAAATCACTGAAGTTATTCATAATATTCGTGTCCACAAGTCCAGGATCAATAGAGAAAGTGCTCACTTCGGTCCCTTCCAGTCTCCGAGCAAGAAAGTGTGCTGCCATGACCTTTTCAGGATATAACAAATCCAGAAATAAAATTCTCTGCCGACCTTGGATGAGGAACGAGCAGCCCAATACAGACTTAATGCATGATCAAGAGATTGCATTTTGTGACCATTTTTTTCTGAGCCCCATGGGACACACTGAATGTGTGTACTGCATCACGCGCATAAAACTGCCAAAAATCTCCCTCAACTATCCAAATAGCGCTAACTTGTCAAGGACACGTGCCTGCAACCTGCAGAGTTGTAATGAGTCACTGATTTTTGTGACTCGAGTCGAATCAAGTCGTTTTAAAGAAGTGACTTGAGTCGAGTCGAGTCATTAGGTCAAAAGGTCGAGTCGAGTCAAATATTTAGCTCGAGTCAATTCGAGTCACAATTATTTGAACACTATATATACCAAATTTATAAAAGGAGGCTATAAGTTTAGCCAGCGTTCGAATCCAAGAGCTTTATAAGAAATCACCCAAAACCAATGATGAAACAGCGAATTAGAAAATGTGTTTAAAAATCTGGTTCCTGGATAGTATTTTGTGCGTCCTAGAACCATGAGGTGGGAGTCTGTGACACGTTGTATATTTGTACATGACTGCTATTCGCAAAGTAAAGTGAGCACAAATTTTGCACCGTAAGTCACTGCAAATACTTTTCGCAAAGTTGCGCCTTTATTTTTGGGACTCGAGTCTTATTAGCCTTCGCTTGAGTCGAGTCGAGCCTTCTAATGAGGGACTCGAGTCGAGTCGAGTCATTTGCTCGCAGTGACTCGAGTCGAGTCGAGTCATTTACCCTTAGGGACTCGAATCGACTCGAGTCAACAAAAATTGTGACTCGAGTCGGACTCGAGTCGAGTCATTGACTGGAGTCATTACAACTCTGGCAACCTGGCTGAAAAAATTATACATAGCATTTATCTGAACCAACAAGTTAATCACGGACGACTCATACACGCTCAGACTCTTACTAGGGGTAGACCGAAGGTGGCACGGAAGGGGGATGAACAGTGTTATACATGTATTTGACAGACAGTGTCCTGTTCCATCTGCTTTGAATAGCGCCCCCTGTGGTAAGATGGTAAATAGCCTCCGGCCCCCTCCCACTCTCTCCCATTGCTTTTTAGAGTATAGGTGGCTGCGGGTGACCATCCGGCTACCTTCCAGCACGAGAGTCAGTCGGCAATGTCGTTGTCACATCCCCCATTTCAATATGGTCTGGCGACGTCATGTGTTGACTGGACTAGATCACCGACTTCATTCAATTCCTGAATTAAAAGAATCTCACCATGTAGGCCTTGGATGAGGCGTAGGCTGTAAGCCGACTGAAGGATTTGGGGCCCTGCATGTTGTCCAGGTCTAGTTTCCCACTTTTATGCGCGTCTGATGACAGGAGAACAATGCGGGAGTCGGGGGCACCAGCCCGCAGCAGCGGCATGAGATGCAGCACAATGAGGAGCTGTGACAGGTAGTTGACTTGGAATTGCGACTCGTATTTATCCTCTGTGTATTCTATGAAAGAAATCCAACGAAAGAACCCTTTTGAACACGACAACTAGTGGAGCAAATTGAGACTTTCGATAGCAGTCCTTTCAAGCGCCATGTATAGGTCATGATGCCGGAGTCCTTACCTTGTTTGACAAAGGCAATGCCAGCATTGCAGACCAAGATATTAAGGTACTGCATCCTCTCCTTGGTCTTCTGAATGAAGTCCATGGTGGATTGCAACGAGGCGAGATCCACTATGATGTACTCCACATTCAGTGGCTTGATCTCTTCACTGGTGGATGGAGATGACGCCTGGCCAGCAGCATTCATGGAAAATTGTAATAAGAAAAACATTTGATTTAGGAAAATCAATAGGATTTAATCAGCCACAAATATTTGTAGGCCTACTGGCCCTTCCAAACTTTCCAACATCAACAGATCATCAGAAACTACAACCTCCGCTTCCACAAAAAGCCACTAACAAGTGAAGTCAGTCTCGTGTTAATTAACACATGGCTCATTTGGCCCATTTTTGTCTCTGGTTCCTTGGTATGAAAAAGATTGATATAAAAAACTTCATTCTGCAACATAATTATGAAATATCAGAAACAACTTAATAGTCCAGATAAGCAGCAAGATTCTTCACAGCCTATAGAAAAAGGAAGGTCTCATGGACATTAAATCGAGGCTCGGATGATCTTCCATTTAGGAAGTGACTGACAGCACACTAGCCTCATCACATTCTCAAGGATTATTCAGCCATCAACAAGGATGACCAGTACAAACCCAAACTACCTCGACCAGAGCTCCCTGGGTCACAACAGACAACAGTCCTTCTAACCCTGAAGCAACTCACGTGAGGAACACATTATCCCACTCGATCATTTTTGCAATATCTACATGCAGTTTCCTCTCCATGAATGGTCAGATAAACCCCTTGATGCTAAACGTACCACCCCTTAACAAGCCTACTCATACAAGGAAGTTTGTTGAGAGGTTCACAGAGCGCTTCAACTAGGCAACGCTTCCCTACTGACAGGCACCCCCATGTCGTGACAAAAAACACTTGAAAAAGCCTCCCCACTAAGACTTTTACTTCATATCAGGTAAAACCATTTTGGCCATATCAGACAAATTGTCACCATTCAAAAAAGGTTTAGTTTACCTGCCCATGACTTCTCTGCTGCATTTCATCTCGATGTTCTGTCTGCATTCGCTCGATTGCCTAAATGACCAAAAACCTGAGTCATTAATGCGTCAAAGAAAATCACTTAGAATATACATTGTATACCTAAATGCGGCGTGATCTTCGAGCTCCTAAAAATAATGTGTAACATTTTTTTTAATTGTTTGTGACATAATCTCAGCTGTTTTTCGCTAAGTAATTTATCTTTTAATTACTGTGCTAAGGGGGATTTATGTCGGGGGCTTATTCCACGGAGCTGTAAGCTTGGTAAAGTTGAGGGATTAACCACAGCTCTGAAAAAAATGTGGCCAAAATATTACTAAATATCTACCACCTTACCCAAGGCCGCGTGAATCCTGGCAGGGGATGGGAAGATATCCCCCTTTTTGACTAGGGGGGGGGGGGGGGGGGGGATGGGTCACTGGATCTCCCCCCCCCCCCCTCCCCGCCCCAATTTTTGTGGTGAGAACTTGAAAAGCAATGCCGATTTTAATGTCATCTCGTAACTTTCAGATAGTCAAAATGTATTACATCAAGTTCAGAAAATCGGAGAACAAACAGTACAAAAGTTAGGGAATGGAAGATTTTGCGGTGAGGTTAAGGGACGTACGTAAGCTAGCGCACAAGTTTGCATAAGATGTACATTTGTGTAATGAACAGCTCCCCCCCCCCCCCCGCCCCCAACCCACTTTTTGAATTTCCCAGCTGGACATTTTAGGACCCATCCAATCCACTCGTCGAAAAGGAGTTACTTCACTGACCTTATACCACGAGGATTCTAGTCAAAAGTGAGTTCCTATATGCCCTATACAGCGTGCCTATACTTGAAAACAGCTATACAAGAATAGTTTCGTGTTGAAGTGGACCACACAGTTTACTGATTTACTCCCCGAAACCACACTCACAGCTTTAGCTTTGTCCTCTGAGCGACTTGTAATGCACACTCTTGCTCCCATCTTCGCAATGGACTTTGCCGTTTCATATCCAATCCCTGCATCAAAGGAATTAATAACTGAGGTATTAAAGAGAAAAGGATAGTCCAAGGACGAACAATATGAAGAAAACATAGTTATATATTACGGTACTCTGAAGGAAGAAACTTATGAAACCAATCCAAAGACTTGAACTCGAGTAAGAAAACAAGATCTTGTATAACATGAATAAGTATCAAAATTTAAGATGACATTTGAGATGAATTATTGAATTAAATAATGATTTGTCATGATTAGTCTCCGAGTAGACCTTTAAAACCCACCATGAAGTTTTGGAGGCCTGCTGTATTTTGAATTAAGTCTTTCTCAACTTGAACCATTTTCACGGAGCGTGAGGAATTAAAATTATGTAGGATCCTGGTGGATCATATTGTGTAAGATTCATTTGGTTCGTGCAGGAATTCTGAAAGTTCAGTCGGATTCTGGAAGATATACCCCCTCAAAAAAGTTAAACTTTTGCAAGAATGCTAAAACAGGTTTTTTTTTACCAGTGTTTCCACCTGTGACCATCACCAGCTTCTCCGGGGGAAGCTCCACCGACGGATGTTCTAATTTGTTCCCCATTTTCAACCTTTCAGTCGAACCTAAACCTGTCAGGCCAAAAAGAATGCAAACAATATAATCTGTTCTCGATCGAAAAGTATGTACTGAACTTGGTATTACCAGCTACAGCATGCTTATATTTCAACTTGACTTGTATATATTGCCTGGGGGACGGGAGTGTCTCCTCTGCGTCCTTGGATCGCCCAAGCGTATGCTCCTAATTTGTAACGTCCCTTTTCTCATCAAGATTGATAATGCTAGTAATAAGCTTTAAAAAAATAAGCATTAAGTTTTATGAAGATACGTTAACACAATTATTATCTGTAGGCCTATGGTAGAATATTATGTCAGTCGCATCACCAAGTCCAGCAGAATGTTGTGGACAGTTGCGACACCACGGAGTTGTTTGCACCAAGTCACAGACGATATCTGACGCGTGGCAAAACTATACTTCATGGTGCACCCAACTAATAAATTGGGCACAGGCAATTTATCCCACACAAATTCCAGTGGTGTAATGCTATAGAATATGGCGGAAAGGGGCCTCCGCCCCCACCCCGAACTTTGCAAAAAGGCGCAAAATATTGTTTTGTATTGTGACAAAGTGCCTCGACCCCCTGCACTACATGTACAAATCCCCAAACAATGTCAATTTTCAACACAATATACACATTGCAAAGACATACCTGGACATTAACTGTGCACAAACCCTATATGAGGCTGGTCTGAAAATGTCTAAGTGTTTTTTTCAGTAAATGCTTCAACATTTTCCCTGGATGCATACATGTATTATCACTTTCTGATGGCTGATAGGTCACTGCGGGGAAAATTTAGTGATGGCCATGCAGGAATGGAAATCTATCCTACACATTTCTAATGTAAAAAATCCAGTTAGAAGTTCAAGCGCGCAATCAAACTTTAAGCATATGGCAACCCACATCGAAGCAGTATCCAATTATTGCCCTACCCCTGTCTCGACGACTAATTATTCCTGTCCAATTTAAGGCATGACAATAAACTCACACTCACCATGAACTTCTCAATCCAGATGGGCGTGGTTGAGGCTGGGAATTATTTCTGGCCGGGCTCAGTTGGCCATGTATAATAGTCAATGAATGATAGACGTAGGCCTACGTGTACTAAACTGTCTACACCCACTGCAATCAGTGTACCATCAGTATCTGGCAATGATGATTTATATTGCGATGTCGACTGATCAAAGTTCACTTGAAGTGTTGCCAAAAATGTTGCCTTGTGTTTTATAGCTCCATGCCAGAACGAACTATGTTCATCAACAGTAGATATGGAGCTTCGCGCGCGGGTGCAGGGGAGATCTCTAGATCTAGAGAGAGACACATAGCGTGCGGAGTCCATGCAAAGAGAGGAGCCAACATCAAGAACCAAATTTTTGGGTGGGGGAATAAGCGTACTTGTAAAAAAATAATGTAGAATTACATTGAGATTTTAACTACATCGTATTCCTGATTTCAAGTGGCAACATCCACCTACAATAAGACTCGCATGAACTGTAATATATACGTAGTGTGCAAGTTATAACCACTTGTCTAAAGCCAGCACTTGAACGTCTGGAAGACTGTCCAAGAGTAAGACAAAGATTGTCTGGCAGAACCACTCTCTCCACCTCTCTGTAAAGATCGGCGGGGACGGGTCTAAGCTCACGTCCCCAGGCTGCTAAAATAGAAAAAATAATGCAGAAAAAAGTAGCACATGCATACCCCAACCATCACTGGGGGCGACCACTCAAAGTGCCGGCTCTGAGGCTTCGCACGCGCCATGTCCGGAGTTGGTTTTAGACCATGCCGCCGCTACAAAAAAAACTTCGTTAATTTTGAAATTGCATTTTTGAAATGTCGCGTTTTTAAACCAACCACTGAAAACGTTTAATGTTATGTCGCATTTTCACCTTTAAAAAAAATAATAACATCGGCAGATTTTGCTCATGTGGAATAAACCAGCTCTTGCCTTGCTACGAATGAACAATTTGGTCCATTTTTTTAATAATATGTAACACCCGAAAAATGCGACATACCTAGGACATATTGGATGGATAGGTCTGTTCCGTGTTCTTTTTATGGCGTAACTGCATCTTAGGAATACAATTCTGAAAAGATGAAATAATTTCCATCAAATGCAATGCTTTAGAAAATTCCAATCCAACAAAGTCAATTACAAAAGAAACAATAATTACCAAAGAATTTTAAGCAACTAAATCTAGATATAAGTACATGTAGTTTGTAATTGTTTACAATTTCATATATTTACTTACTTATAGTGTCCTTATAGTGAGCTGTCCAACTATATGTACATGTAATTGCCTTTTTAAGGATAACGTATTTCGAATTGAATTGAATAAAATTGAACTGAACTAATATAGGAATACATGTATCCAACATGCCCAAAACCCAAATACAAAAATATACTTTTCGAGTTGATTAAATGGTCAATATGAAATTACAAGGCATGTATGAAAACCATCATCAACGAATCAACTACTTTACAATAATTAGATTAAGTAAACAACACTCAAATTTCATCAAAATCTTACAAAAGAAACCAGTAAGGCAAGGTTAATTAATAAGTAAGGGACTTTAAGAAAATATCAATGATTCCAGTCGTCCGAAGTAAATACAATGTATCTTGAGAATTGTGAACTAACAAGTATGGGCGTCGCCAGGATTTTTTTTCTAGAGACATCATCTCCAGATATCATCAAGTAGTCTTGCCAAACCTCAACACCGATGAGCTTCAAATTCACCAAGTTGCTTACTGGCACAGTTCCCCTACTAAAACTTTATTGAAAATCATGTGAACAATGATAACATTGTGATATTTAGCCCAGCAAACAAAAAACAGGGAAAACAAGGTGTCCGTAAATTCGGGGCTGAAAAAAGGTGATGGGATGCCTAACGGTGGGACTTGAACAAGTTCAAGGAAATTCCCAAAATTATTGGTAAAAAAACATTCTGACATTGACACAATTATTGTACGCAACACTAATCTTTTTTTGTTGTGAATTTTGTGTTATTGAAGTAAGGATGTGTAAGTACAATCACTAAAATAAACTTTAAAAAAAATATATATATATACCCAAATATGGGAACAAATATATTACCGGAGAGGTATTAACGATTTATGCAAATTAGGCATATTTCCACCACTTGGATTTTTAAGACTGTTACTACACCATTCTAGGGACCTTACATAAGTGCAATGTGATGAAAAAAAAAATCTGTTGCAATTTGTGTGAGGTTCACTTCAAAAATAAAGTATTTTGCCTGGACTATCTACAAGTCTAGATCTCATCACGTACTATGACCAAATAGTCTCTCTGGCAGTTTCTGCCAAGGTTTAATCTTTCTTCGATACCTTGTGGTCTTTAATATACACCTAAACCTTGTGAATTTGAATATTATTTAGATTTCACCAAATTTTCAGTTCATCACAAATCTCTTTAATGGAGTCCACCTTGATAATTTTTGGCCAAGTTTGGCCTCTTGTAAATGTTTTTATTAGCTTCAATGATCTGAGCACCTGTCGCTAGGAGCCAACTGTGATCGGTACACCTTCTTGAACTTCTGCACCTCATCTCCTGCAGATTTCCCCATTATCTGCCTTCGGTTCTCCTGATGTCTGGTCAATTTCAGAAGCTGGCTGAGCTGAAGGTTCCCTCTCTGGTTGTTCTACACCTGCTTATTATCTGAAGATGCTGCAGTTCTCAGCTGCTAATTACTTATTTTCTGCATTATCTGTCACGCCCCTTTCCTCTGAAACCTGCCCACTGGGTTTTTCCTCTGCCTTAACCCTTTCAGTGGGTAATTCTGCAGCTGCAGATGGTAATTCTCTTTTCGGCTGCTCTTCTGTCTGCTCCTGTTTGGAGGATGCCTTGGGTTCGTTGTCTTCATCTTTGAGTGTGTCTTCAGGTATCTTTTCTTCTAAATTAGCCCCATATGGTTCCTGCGATGCCTTGACTTTTTCAGAGGGTACCTCTGTAGCTCCAGATGAAGACTCTATCTCTGGTTGCTCCTCATCCTGCTTCCTCTCCAAAGATGCCTCTCCTCCTTTGGATTTGTTTCCCATCTCTTTGTCATCTGAACTCCCTTCTTTCTTCCCTGAATCATCAGCAATCTTCTCTTCGACTGTCCTTGTGTCCTTGGGAATGGTCAGCAGATCTGGCCTCGCTGATGGGAAGGCTTCTTTGAGCACACCATCAGAGATGAACTGGTTGAGACATCCAAGACTGTAACCCCAAAGGTCCTCCTGTTTTTTGCCATCCCTAAAGTAGAAAATTAAACCCAAGGACCCTTGAGTCTAAAATCAAAGGACCCTTATTAAAATATGATTCATTAGCTGGAAATCAAAGGTCTCTTCAGTAAAAGTCAAAACCTCACCATAGGACCCGGTCAGAGGGCTGGCCCTTCAGAAATTAAAAGATCATTGAATCAATGGACATAATAAAAATCAAGTTCGATAAAAAACAAATAAAGGGAGCCTCGAGTCAGAATCATCACAGGACCCCAGCGTCTAAATTCACATGCAGCAAATTTAGAACTACTTAAGAATCGAACTTGATATTTTCACATTTCTTCTGAATTTTTTTTCTAAAAAACATCTAAGTTTTTCCAATTTTCTAAATGTGTGTGATCAGTTAAGTGTGCATTTTCTCAAAGCCTTACCAACAGAAGGTTGCAGGGTTAGCAGGTCGACAATTCTTCATGAACACTGCAGTTTTCCCACGAAGGCTTGGATCAACACAGGCCACGACACTTGTAGCAGCCCCCTGTTTCGGAGTACGCATCATACCTTTGGGCAAACACAAAGCATTCAATCACTTCAATCTTCAGAAAGTTTGAAATGCAACTTACAAAGTTAAATTTTAGTCTTTGCACCCTTGTTATAATTATGAAAGTCTCTACTAATTGGACCTGAAATTGAAACAGTACAGTATGAAGATCAGTGGATAATTGCCAAATACATGTCAAATGACCTATAAAAAGTTTATGCACGGCCAGGCAATGATACTATTAAATGTTCAAATGCACCAAGAAGTGTACTCACCAAATTTGTTATAAGCTCCAACGAAAAAGCTCATCAGTTTCAAATCACTGAAGTTATTCATAATATTCGTGTCCACAAGTCCAGGATCAATAGAGAAAGTGCTCACTTCGGTCCCTTCCAGTCTCCGAGCAAGAAAGTGTGCTGCCATGACCTTTTCAGGATATAACAAATCCAGAAATAAAATTCTCTGCCGACTTTGGATGAGGAACGAGCAGCCCAATACAGACTTAATGCATGATCAAGAGATTGCATTTTGTGACCATTTTTTCTGAGCCCCATGGGACACACTGAATGTGTGTACTGCATCACGCGCATAAATCTGCCAAAAATCTCCCTCAACTCTCCAAATAGCGCTAACTTGTCAAGGACACTTGCCTGCAACCTGCAGAGTTGTAACGAGTCACTGATTTTTGTGACTCGAGTCGAATCAAGTCATTTTAAAGAAGTGACTCGAGTCGAGTCGAGTCATTAGGTCAAAAGGTCGAGTCGAGTCAAATATTTAGCTCGAGTCAATTCGAGTCACAATTATTTGAACACTATATATACCAAATTTATAAAAGGAGGCTATAAGTTTAGCCAGCGTTCGAATCCAAGAGCTTTATAAGAAATCACCCAAAACCAATGATGAAACAGCGAATTAGAAAATGTGTTTAAAAATGTGGTTCCTGGATAGTATTTTGTGCGTCCTAGAACCATGAGGTGGGAGTCTGTGACACGTTGTATACTTGTACATGACTGCTATTCGCAAAGTAAAGTGAGCACAAATTTTGCACCGTAAGTCACTGCAAATACTTTTCGCAAAGTTGCGCCTTTATTTTTGGGACTCGAGTCTTATTAGCCTTCGCTTGAGTCGAGTCGAGCCTTCTAATGAGGGACTCGAGTCGAGTCGAGTCATTTGCTCGCAGTGACTCGAGTCGAGTCGAGTCATTAACCCTTATATAGGGACTCGGCGACGTCATGTGTTGACTTGACTAGATCACCGACTTCATTCAATTCCTGAATTAAAAGAATCTCACCATGTAGGCCTTGGATGAGGCGTAGGCTGTAAGCCGACTGAAGGATTTGCGGCCCTGCATGTTGTCCAGGTCCAGTTTCCCACCTTTATGCGCCTCTGATGACAGGAGAACAATGCGGGAGTCGGGGGCACCAGCCCGCAGCAGCGGCATGAGATGCAGCACAATGAGGAGCTGTGACAGGTAGTTGACTTGGAATTGCGACTCGTATTTATCCTCTGTGTATTCTATGAAAGAAATCCAACGAAAGAACCCTTTTGAACACGACAACTAGTGGAGCAAATTGAGACTTTCGATAGCAGTCCTTTCAAGCGCCATGTATAGGTCATGATGCCGGAGTCCTTACCTTGTTTGACAAAGGCAATGCCAGCATTGCAGACCAAGATATTAAGGTACTGCATCCTCTCCTTGGTCTTCTGAATGAAGTCCATGGTGGATTGCAACGAGGCGAGATCCACTTTGATGTACTCCACATTCAGTGGCTTGATTTCAATTTCTTCACTAGTGGGTTGGGATGACGCCTGGGCAGCAGCATTCTTGGAAAATTTTTGATAAGAAAAAAAAATATTTTAACTGGAAAATTCAATCTGGTTTATTCCATCCATTGTACTGACCCTTCCAAACTTTTCAACATCAACAGATCAAAACTACCAGCTGCTTCCCATAAAAAGTCATGCATTAAACTAGTCTGTCTTGAGCCTAAATGAACATAGTTCATCTGGCCCAATTTTTTCCCTGGCTTTGGTATGAAAACACCAATAATATACTTTACTCATGGTTCAAGAGGGGAAAAGGGAAGAAGTGGCTGTCCTAATAGATACAACATATGAAAAATCAGGGACAACTCAGTTTTTCCAGAGACATGTAGGCAGCAAGTCATAAGAAGCTTGGATGGTCCTCCATTGCCGAAATGAGACAGCAAACTTGCCACATTACATTGCTTCAGTGACTCAAGGACTAATGAGCCATCAACAAGGATCACTGGTACAAACCCAAACCACCTAGAGCTAGACGGGGTCACAACAGACAACAGTCCCTGATCTTCCCCTGAATCGCTTGACATGTGGGGCAAATTATCCCACATGATCATTTGTGTAACATCCAAATCCAGTTGCCAATCCAACAATCAGGTAAACAAGTCCCTTTAGACAGCATACCACTCCCTTCAAGCCTCCAGCAGCTCCAAAAACGGGACGCTTTTAGGAAGTTAAGGTGCAAGCTAGTGTCACAGGGCCCTGGCCAATAGGCAATGCTTCCCCTACACAAATCTGTCAAAAAAAGGCACCTAAGTTTTGTGACCAAAAATTCACTTCGAAAAAGCCCCCACTAGGACTTCCAGTGAAGCAGTTTTGATCATCCAAGTGAGACAAGTTGTTGCAATTCAAGAAAGGTTCCATTTACCTCTGCAGGACTTCTCTTCTGCATTTCGTTCTTATGTTCTTCCTGCATCCGTTCTATAGCCTAAAACATGTAAAAGACCAACAAAATCCCAAACTTGTCATGCGATTTTTTTTTTATTGTTGATATATGATCTGAGCTGCTTGTTGCTGAGTAAGTAGATAAGCTTAGCTTAGTGAGCCTTATTCGTTTTTGTGTCCCTGAGCCAGATACCTTGCTTCAATCACTTCTGTCTGTATATGAAGGAATACAACCTGGCATACTTTGTGAGGCAGAGCTTTTGGAGGATTTTACAATGCTAACGTATTTGTTAAGCACATAAAATATTTGCTAACTGAAACATGTCATAAGTTTTTGCTAAGCTCTATGAGATTCAGTCTAAACTTTACCAAAAAGTAACCATCTTTACCATATTCAATTTCAAAAGTGAGCTCCTAACAGTTCCATTTTTGGTTATTGGACCACAAATTCACCGAGTCGGATTCACTCCCTAAAACAACACTCACCGCTTTAGCTTTGTCCTCTGAGCGACACGCGATGCAAACTCTTGCTCCCATCTCAGCTATGGACTTTGCTGTTTCATATCCAATCCCTGCATCAAAAGAAATCAAACTTTCTTCATTACAAAAGAATTCAGGTAGTTTAGAAAGAAAATTGTGCAAGGACAAACAATCTGATTGTTTCTTCCTTCAGAGTACAATAACAACTACAGTATCAGTTTGAAACCAACTGGTGCATTTCACGGAGCTTGAGGAAATAAAGGTCTGTAGGATTCTGGTGAATTGTGTAAGATTCCGGTGGATTATGCAGGATTCTGGAAGTTTAACCCCAAAAGAAAGAGTCGAATTTGCAAGGGATTTAGTGAGAAGACCAACATTTTGTTACCAGTGTTTCCACCTGTGACCATCACCAGCTTCTCCGGGGGAAGCTCCACAGACGGATGTTCTATTGTATTCCCCATCTTCAACCTTTCAGTGCAACCTAAACCTGTCAGGCCAAAAAGGAAGCAAAGAATGTAATCTGTTCTAGATCAAAAATTAGGTACTTACCCCTGTCATAGCTCGACAATCTGTCACTTAAGTGGGACAAAACTATCATATTCATCACCGGCTTCGTGGTGCACTGTACTCAAATAATAAGTTGGGCACTGGCAGTTTATCCCACACAATTTCGGTGGTGCAACTATGTGGATGATGAGCAAGGGCCCCCCCCCAAAAAAAAGCCACCCTCTCCCCCCCCCCCCCCCCCACTTAAAAAAAGGCAATAAACAATAGGGCCTAGCTTTATATTGTTTGTAACAATTCACATTGTTGTTCCTTCCATGCAGTAACCCCCCCCCCCCCCCCCTTAATTGTCCTCACATCATGGACCCAAGTCAATTTAAATGTGCCATACACGGGGTCTACCGGCGTTCCCCAATACCTGTTCCCCAATACCTACTACACCATGTATTTGATACACAATTACCAATAACAAGGAGGTCCAATGTAAAAATCAACGTGGAGTGCACTATCTCTGTGGTAGTCTATATACATGTACATGTACATGTACAGAAAACTGCAACCCACATTGAAAACAATTTACATTCATGAATTTTCCAACCCGTCTCGAAATCTTTATCTAAATTCCTGACCAATTTAAGGCATGACACCGACAGCTAAACTCACTCACCATGAACACAAACACCATCCAGATGGGCATGGTTGTGGACTAGAGGCTGGGAATTATGATCAAACTCACGCACGTCACTTGGCCAGGTAGAAAATGGACGTGCACAAAATGCACTAGCTAGTTTAGCAATTTCGGCGCGGCGCTCTATTTCCAGACTCGCGTTGCACTTGCAAAGTTCACTTGAACCGGCGTAGCCAACAATTTGCATTGTGTTTTACATTCACTATAGAATAAACTCTATTCCTACCTGACCTCCATGATCCGGCTTCGTGTACGATGATTGTCTGGAAATAAGGAAATTGGCTAGTTTTTGATAATCCTCAAGGATATCGTTTGAGGCCTTACACAACCAAAAATGCGTGAAGTGTTGTATGACCTCTACAGGGTGAGTAAAAAAAAAAGCGAAACCCAAATGTCGGGACTATTGTTTTAGTGAAGTTCTGCATGTGTAAGCACTTTCTAAATCTAGGATATGAAAAGCCCAATTCATAAGTTTTCTTTCAATACAAGAATCATTCAATCACTCATAGTCATGGACTTTTCAAGTTACGGAATTTTAAAGGGTGTGCGTTCTTTCAGCAACTACGAAAACAATGTGAATTGCTTTCGTTTTGATGAAAGAACACTTAACCTACGGAAGACACACGCACCAAAAAATATTTATTCACACTAATTGAGTGGCACTATCCGTCTTCCGTACTTACCTTCTTCTTGTGATCCGTGGACAGGACTTTAAAACGGTGGTTGATTCCGTAATAATAACTTGAAAAGTACTTAAAGTGATTTGAATGATTCTTGTACTAAAAGAAAACTTAATATTAATTGGGCTTTCATATCTTAGAAATTGAAAGTGCTAAACATGCAAGACTTCACTAAAACAATAGTCCTGACATTTGGGTTTCGTTTTTTTTTTTACTCACCCCTGTAGTGTTACACAGCCTGGGCCAGGGGTTCGTCATGGGCCGTCAATTTTCGTCCGTCGCGGGCGCCAATCGTCAGTTCCGAATGTCAGCTAGGAGCAGAACCGTGTCGTTGTACAAATTTGGTCGTGTACTTGATCAAGTCCAGTCGCTTTAAAAAAAAAAAAACCGCTAAAACACAAAACGTGCTGCGAGGATTATACGACAGTAGCACATTATGCCTATTTCAGTATACCCCCGTCCCCGACAGCTAAAACCCCCTTCCCTTTAAATTTGAGCCAAAGCTTGATCGACCCCTAGCTAAAGCCCTGCACAGGTGTAGCGAGGTGTTGGTTTCAATGCTGTCTGCGGTATGCTTAGGCAGAGAGCCAGGTCCGCCGCGAGAATATAGGCCTACTTGAGGCTTTTGAAAAGGCCACCATGCTGCCTTTAAGACTTCATAATTTGCATCAAGAGGCAGTGCCGTCTCAAAAATTAGTTAGTACCAGCAAGAGTCCATTCTGCTACAACTTAATGCACTTGGCCGGCCATTTAACACGGATGGAGGACACAATCTCTTCATATTTCAGTGAGCTGCTAGTCGGGAACCGGGACCGTGGCGGTCCTCGGTCTGAACGGTGCTTCACAGACCAGCTGAGGAAACAGCTTTTATCAGGCAGCGCAGGAATCGATTATCGGCCATCTCAAGAAGAGGCAACGGACAGAGACAACTGTTGTTACCATGGAAGTAGGAAACAATCAGAAAGGCTATCACAATATTTGAGACTATACAAAGCGATACCGCAAAGGAAAAGCGTAAAGGGCGGAATTATAAGGATTGGGCGACCTCTCAAGATCCCGGCTCCTAGGATTCGCATGCCCAATGTCCATCTAGAGTGAATGCGTATCTGATGGTTTTAGTAGACCATGCGGCCGCTAAAAAAGTTTCTTTTATTCTTAAATTATATTTTTGAAATGTCGCGGGGTTTTTTGGCCCACCGCTAGTATAAAAAGTTTCGTTATTTTAAATGTCGCATGTTTAGCCTTTTTCAACTTTAAAACATAACATTCAACATCTGGTTTTCGGGAGATTTTGAGTGTCATGGAATAATCCTTAGCTAGCTCTTGTCATAGGACGAATGAACACTTTGGGGTATTTTTGTGTTTACTTTAGATAATATGGCAACCACAAAAATGCGACATGACAAGGACATGTTGCTAACATACTGTGCGTAGGCATTGTTGTTCCTTTAATGGCGTTACTGCATCCTAGGAAGAAAATCATGAAGACATAATTAAGATAATAATTCCCACATAAAAATCCAATAGAAAATTCCAATCCACCAAAGTACATAAAAAAAAAAAAATTATCAAAATGAAGCAATTCAGGATAGGATCAGGACTGCATGTATCCAAAACATAATTGCCAAAATATACATTGAACTAGTGATGAAAGTCCAATCTGAAAATACAAGACATATATGACTAGACTAAAATCATCAATGAATCAAACTATTTAATGGTCGGAGTTAAGTTAACTAATAGATAAAAATGTCATTGATCAAAATCATATGAGTTAAGGCATTAGGCTAAATAACAAGAACCTAAAGGGGCTTAAGAATACGGACAATTATTTAGACAATATCAATAACGTCTTACCTGTCAAGCCGTCTAAAGTAATCTTGAGACTTGTGAACTAACAAGTATGCGTACACACATGCACTAAATATACTGCGCGTGGAATTATAATTGTTACAAACGGTCTCCATAAGGCTGGTATACAACTTGTGTAGTGTGTCTGTAGTTGACAAAATATGAAAACGCATAAATGACCATTTTTGTCCCACACACTATTCGTATACTGCGTGTGGAATTATGATTGTTACAAACGGTCCCCATAAGGCAGGTTATATACAAAGTGTGTGTGTTCCACCAATGTCATTGACAATGTACAGCATGCGAAGTGTGTGTATTCGACATATGAAAACGCATAAATGACCATTTTTGTCCCGCACACTATTCAAATACTGCGTGTGGTATTAGGATTGCTACAAACGGTCCCCATAAGGCTGGTTATATACAAAGTGTGTATATTCCGCCAATTGTAAAGAAATGTACAGCATGCGAAGTGTGTGTATTCGACATATGAAAACGCATAAATGACCATTTTTGTCCCGCACACTATTCACATACTGCGTGTGGAATTATGTTCGTTTACAAACGGTCCCCGTAAGGCTGGTTATATACAAAGTATGTTTGTCGCACCAATCCCATAGACAATGTACAGCATGCGAAGTGTGTGTAGTCGACATATGAAAACGCGTAAATGAGCATTTTTGAGCATATATCTATATACTTCGTGTGGAATTACATGTATGAGTGTTAAATAAGGCTGGTTATTATATACAAAGTCTGTGTGTTTCGTCTATGAATCTCATAGAAAATGTGTGCACTCGACGTGTGTGTGTGTTCGACATATGAAAACGCATTAATGAGCATTTTTGTCTCGCACAATATCCATATACTGCGTGGAATCATCATTGTTGTGTTTCGCCAATTTCATTTTTCATATAAAGTGTTCATTTTTGTCCGGCACACTATCCGCATACTGGCGTTCTGCACCTCTCCCCTGATATTTGATTCTCCTAATGTCTGGTCAATTTCAGAAGCTACCTGAGCTAAAGGTTCCCTCTCTGGTTGTTCTACACCTGCTTATTATCTGAAGATGCTGCAGTTCTCAGCTGCTAATTACTTATTTTCTGCATCATCTGTCACGCCCCTTTCCTCTGAAACCTGCCCGCTGGGTTTTTCCTCTGCCTTAACCCTTTCAGTGGGTAATTCTGCAGCTGCAGATTGTAATTCTCTTTTCGGCTGCTCTTCTGTCTGCTCCTGTTTGGAGGATGCCTTGGGTTCGTTGTCTTCATCTTTGAGTGTGTCTTCAGGTATCTTTTCTTCTAAATTAGTCCCATATGGTTCCTGCGATGCCTTGACTTTTTCAGAGGGTACCTCTGTAGCTCCAGATGAAGACTCTATCTCTGGTTGCTCCTCATCCTGCTTCCTCTCCAAAGATGCCTCTCCTCCTTTGGATTTGTCTCCCATCTCTTTGTCACCTGAACTCCCTTCTTTCTTCCCTGAATCATCAGCAATCTTCTCTTCGACTGTCCTTGTGTCCTTGGGAATGGTCAGCAGATCAGGCCTCGCTGATGGGAAGGCTTCTTTGAGCACATCATCAGAGATGAACTGGTTGAGACATCCAAGACTGTAACCCCAAAGGTCCTCCTGTTTTTTGCCATCCCTAAAGTAGAAAATTAAACCCAAGGACCCTTGAGTCTGAAATCAAAGGACCCTTGAAAAAGAAACCAAAACCCTCGAGTCTCCATTCATAAAAACCATGGGTTCAAAGCAAGGAACCATGAGTTATAATCTAAGAGCCATTTGTTTAGAATGGAAAAGGTCACTTTAGTAATTTCAGTTCATAATTCGGCATGGTCTGTAATCCTAGAGTTTGAGTAAGAATCAAGTTTAATTGGGACTCGGGACCCTTAAGTAAAAGCCTCCACTAAAAAGTTGGAATCATCATCAGAGGATCCTTGTTTCAAAACTCACTTATAGCTAATTGAGGACTCCTTAAAACCTTGACTGGAAATAAAGTATCAGTTTTCTATATAATGTGATCACCTTTACTTGACTCTAAAGCAAGGTTTCCCAAAGCCTTACCGACAGAAGTTAGCAGGGTTAGCAGGTCGACAACTCTTCATGAACACTGCAGTTTTCCCACGGAGGCTTGGATCAACACAGGCCACAACACTTGTTGCAGCCCCTTTTTCGGAGTACGCATCATGCCTTAACACATAAAGCATTCCATCATTTCAATAAGAAAGTTTGAAAAAACTTCAGAGGAACACTTTGCTTGATCCATTTACACACTACCACTGCTCAATCTATTCACAAACTAACATGAAACTTGGGTCAGTGACTAAAATTGAGTTCTCAAATACACCAACAAATGAACTCACCCATTTTTTTCGAAGCCCCTCCAAAAAAGCTCAACAGTTTCCAGTCACTGTAGTTATTCACAATATCCGTGTCCACAATTCCAGGGTCGACAGAGAAAGTGCTCACTCCAGTCTCCTCCAGTCTTCGAGACAGAAAGTGTGCTGCCATGATCTTTGAACAACAAATGGAGAAATAAAATTCTCTGAAACTGACTAGGATGAGGAATGTATAGGGCGATATAGTGAGACACAGCTGTAGTTGGCAGTACTTGTAGAGGACACTTGCAAGAA